CCCGCTACCCCCTCCAATCTTACTCTGTCCAGAAAATAAATCATTCTTCTGGTTCTTTTGTGTTCATACCAAACAGTGGATCTAAACATGATAGCTGAAAATTACTTCTCGGTGCTATGCAAAGTGTATACTAGCATACAATCTGCTGCCTTCTGTAATGGTGTGTCTTGCTGATTCCATGTATAAGCAGTCTTCAAGACCCTAGCTGCCTTGTGGAGTAGTCATTTAACAATGTATCCATCTGTGTCAGTTTTGAAGAATAAAACATGGCTACTCCAATTAGATAGATTCTTAGTAGAGCTGTGCGAAACAGCACCATTCCACATCAACTTCCATTTCGACGAAACAGTGTTTTGTTTTGTTTCAAAAGCACTGTTCCATTTCGTTTTGTCTAAATGGTGTCATTGTTTTGACGTTTTGTCCATAGGGTATAACGGGGAAGCACAAAACTGCCTAAAACTTTGTAATTTCTAGCCTGATTCTCATGAAATGTGACAGGATGGTGGCCCCTTCTGAGGGCGTGAAGTCTGCCAAGTTTCAGTGAAATAGGTGCAGAGGTTTCTGGGAAACAGCACCTCAAGGTGCTGACAAGAAAAACTCACTTGCTGGCAGAGGAAGCCGCCTGTGATCTGGCAGGCAGATACGGGGGCCTGCATCCCTAAGAATGCTGTAGGGCTGCGCTGGACTCCTCCCCAGGGGTGCAGGCCCCCAATCTGCCTGCCGGATCACAGGAAGCTGCTGCTGCCAGTACCCCCCAGGAAGGCTGGGGGCTGTGCCAGAATCCTCCCGGGGGTGCGGCCCTTGGATCTGCACCATATGACAGGAGGCTGCTGCTGCTGCTAGCTGGGACCAGTGTTAAAGCCAAGCCCTACTTTGAAATTCAAAATCTTTCGAAACATTTCGAGTGCCATTGTTTCGTTTCAAAACTGTTTTGAAGGCTTTTGTTTTGATTTGATTTTGCTGTGTCATGCTCGAAACAGCTTTGAAACTAAATGCCTGGTGAAATTTCTCAGAGCCCTAGTTCTTAGACCATGTGCACCTCAGCTCCCCCAGATACATTTTAAAAAATAGGAAGTCTGTGCCCTGGTATCTGTAATTATAAGTAGAAGTAACCAATACTTTTGTAATGGGTGTGACAACATACTAGGTCACAGTGAATTAGAATTTCAGGCTTAAAAAAAAAAAAAGGGCCACTTTTTTCCTCCTGCCCAGGCAGTGGGTCGGACTTGAAGATCTACAAGGTCCCTTCCGACCCTACTTCTATTATTCTATGAATCAAATCAGTCTACGGCTTTTTGACTGTCTGTACATAGGATGTCTAATCTGAACCTACTCTCCAACAACTTGTGGCCGTTATTTCTTGTTATCCCAGGGCGTGCTGGGGGAAACAAGGTCTCCCCCAAACCCTTCTGGTCCCCCCTAGTGAGTTTATAGACGGTCACAAGGTCCCCCCTCAGCCTTCTCTTGTGAAGGCTGAACAGGTTCAGGTCCCATAGCCTCTCACTGTAGGGTCTGCCCTGCTGTCCCTGGATTATGTGGGTGGCCCTCCTCTGGACCCTCTCAATGTTTTTCACATCCCTCTTGAAGTGGGGTGCCCAGAACTGGACACAGTACTCCAGCTGTGGCCTGACCAGTGTTGCGTAGAGGGGGAGGATCACCTTGGCCCTACTTGAGATGCACCTGTGGATGCACGATAGGGTCTGGTTAGCCCTTCTGACTGTGACCTCGCATTGTTGACCCATGTTCATCTTGGAGTCAATGATGACTCCAAGATCCCTTTCTGCCTCCGTGCTCTCAAGAATGGAGTTTCCCATCTTATAAGTGTGATGCCAGTTACTACTGCCCAAGTGCAGCACCCTGCACTTGTCAGTATTGAAATGCATCCTGTTTTTGTTAGCCCACCTTTGCAACCTATCCAGGTCTTTGTGCAGACTTTCCCTCCCTACTAGCGTGCCCACCTCACCCCAAATTTTGGTATCATCAGCGAATTTGAGCAGGTTGCTTTTCACCCCGTCATCCAAATTGCTGATAAAGAAATTGAACAGCGCGGGCCCAAGGACCGAGCCCTGGGGAACTCTGCTGCCCACTTCCCCCAGGTCGAATATGACCTGTCCACCACCACCCTCTGAGTACGACCCTTCAGCCAATTAGCAATCCATCTGACTGTAGGTATCAATGCCACAGTCGCCTAGTTTTTTAACGAGGATGGGGTGGTCGACAGTGTCAAAGGCCTTGCTGAAGTCCAGAAAGACTACACCCATGGCGACGCCTGCATCCAATGCTTTTGTGACCTGATCATAAAAGGCAATCAGGTTGGTCTGACATGACCTGCCCCTAATGAAACCATGCTGGTTGCCCCTGAGCATCATCCCCAATGCCGGCTCATCACAGATGTGCTCCTTGATCTTCTCAAAGAGTTTCCTCAGGATTGAGGTAAAACTGA